CCCAGCGCCACCCCGACCAGCTCCACCTCCTCCGCCGCCGCCTCCTCCACCGCCGCCACCTCCGCCACCTCCGCTCCCACCGCCACCACCGCCGCCGCCTCCGCCTCCACTGCCGCCACCGACACCTCCACCCCCGCCACCACTCCCACCACCACCCCCACCCCCTCCACTGCCGCCACCGCCACCTCCGCCACCCCCGCCAGCCCCTCCAGCACCCTTGCCCCCCTTGCCCTTGCCGGTGCGGCGTCTCCCGCTCGGGGCAGACGCAGCGCCGACCGACTCGAGACCAACGAGGTCGGCCGCAGCAGCAGAGGCAACAGAGGGCAAAAGGGGGGAGGGGGAACACCCCTCAAAGACGGGGGTGCGAGGGTCACCACGAGAGGCTCCTACAGCGACTATGCTCTTCTCTGCTGCTAGGAGGGCCTTCTCGAGTAGGTCAACGGTGAGAGTGGTGGGGCAAACTGAGAGGAAGTGGTCCCTGACTACACGAAGGGAGTCAGGGAGCCGGGTGACTATGTAGTAGAGGGTGATGTATATGGGGGGGGGGTTCTTGGCGCAGAACTCAGCAGGAAGCGCAGCGCGGTAGCGAGTGTCACTAGTGCGGAGGTGCGTAATGAGGTCAGCGACTGTGGGAAAGGCAGCAAGGTCAGGGAAGAGGTACGGTAGCATGAGGCGGCTCAGTGCAGCAGTGGCAGGGGAGGAGTAGCGCGCAACTACAGCGTCGTACAAGGTGTGAGCACTCTTGTACTGGCTAAAGTGCGCACGCTCAGAGGTAGGCAGGTGGCGACGCACAGCTAGACGTGCAGCAGCATCGCGTGTGGCCCACTGTGAGCGAACAGTGGCGTCGGCATCAGCAGCAGGGGCAGGAGAGGCACCAGAGGTGAGGTCAAAGAGGGAGAGACCGTCTGCCCTATCGCACTGTAAGAAAAGCTGCAGGTCATCTACCCAGACGTCAAAGTCAATGGCCCGACCCTCAGCGTCAAAGGCGAGGACACTAGGGGTAGCCATGACAGCAGTAGACTAGCAGTGTGAACAGTAGGGTAAGGGCAGTGCAGTGATAGAGGCGCTGCTCTTACCGGACAGGGCGGCTCGGGCGGCTCGGCGGCTCGGCAGGACGGCGGCTCGGGCGGCTCGGCGGCTCGGGCGGCTCGGGTGGCTCGGGCGGCTCGGCAACTCGGCGGCCCGGGCGGTTCGGCGGTCGGCTGCTGGGCGGCTCGGCGGCTCGGCGGCTCGGCTGCTCGGCTGCAGGACGGCTCGGCGGCTCGGGTGCTCGGCTGCTGGGCGGCTCGGCGGCTGGTGTGGTTGGTGACGACCGCGGCAGCAGTCGCAGAAGCTGTGGCGACTGCTGCTGCAGAGACGGCTGCGGCTGCTGCCTCAGGGACGGCGGCTGCCGGCCGCTAGGGGCCGCGAAGAGCGGCGGAGAGGCCGTGAAGGGCGCCACGAGGGGCCGTCGAGGGCGGCGACAGGCCGTGAGAAGGCCGCGGAAGGCGGCTCGAGGGGCCGCGAGGGGGGGCCGTAAGGGGCCGACTGGCGACGGGAGGGGCCGAAGGGGCCGCGGGAGGGCCCGTAAGGGTAGCGCGAGGGGCCGTAAGGGCGGCACGAGGGGCCGTAAGGGCGGCACGAGGGGCCGTGAGGGCGGCGCGACGGGCCGTAAGGGCGGCGCGACGGGCCGTAAGGGCGGCACGAGGGGCCGTGAGGGCGGCGCGATGGGCGCGACGGGCCGTAAGGGCGGCGCGACGGGCCGTAAGGGCGGCGCGACGAGCCGTAAGGGCGGCGCTAGGGAGCCGTGAGAGGGCCGCTAAGGGCGACGCGACGGGGCCGTGAGGGGCCTAGCGAGGGCGCGACGGTAGGGAGAGCACACAGGGCGCGACTCGGGCCGGAGCGAAGCGCGCTCCGGGCAGGAAAAAAAAAATTCGTGGTGGTGGGCCCTAGGAATCGTTCCCACTAGGGAACCTGCTCGATACCATGAGAAGAAACGAGGAATGAGAATGACTAAGGGAAAAGTTGGGTACAAAAATGTAAACCCTAGAAAACTGTACCCCATATGTGCTACCCCACTATAGCCTACAGTAGCTATGTCATATAAATCTGACAGCGCAAACACAACCGATGCAGACATGCGAGAACACAACCGCAAACACAAGCGCAAACACAAACACAAAAACAACCGCAAAGAAAAGAGCAAACACAAGCGCAAACACAACGTATCTGTGGGCGATGCAGTGGCTTGAGACGAGATGCGGTATGCGGAGACGGAGTCGAGCGACAAGACCGTTTGTTTTACCCATCATCACACTCGCGCCGTCAGTGCTTATGCCGGCGATCCTGGCAAGATCAATGCCGAGTGCCTGCACGTGGGACAGGAACACTGAGAGGAGAGAGGCGGCATCTGCCTTCTCCACAGTCAGCAGGGCTAGGAACTCAGTGACGACACGGTTCTCACGGATGAAAGTGGCAAAAAGTATCATGTGCTTTCCTCGGCACCTGTCGGTGCTCTCGTCACATGTAAGGCCGAGGTACGGGCTTGATAGGATGTGCTGCAGTTGCGTTGTGTGCAACCGCGTGGCCATCGACTGGGTGAGTTGCCCGAAGCCGTATCTGTGCAACACACACACACTCAGACACACACACAAACAAGCACACACACACAGAATAAGTCAGAGATTAACAGTCCCGAAACACACCCACATGTTACAAGTTTAGGAACCTGTTACTCACGTAGTGTAATAGGTTCCATATCCTTTCGAAGGGAACCCTGGAACTTTCAGCACCGCGAGGTAGCGAACAAGATTCACCCATAGCTCTATGGGTGCATCTTGCTTGGTGACAAAGAGGAGGGAGTTGAGCAGCTTGGTGACACGTTCCTTCTCGGTGTCGCGAGCGAGATTGTTGCCGTTGATCCGCGGCTGCCTAGATGCTTCCGATAGTAGCTTTTCCTGACTATTGATCGCATCCTTGTGCTTGCTTGTTGCTGCATGTCGTTTGAACGCCTGCGTCTGCATGTCTGTGGCGCCCTTCTCGCCTCTCCCGCACGGTCCTGCGTATCCTGCGTGCTCCGTACAGATTGTACATTTGAAAGCAGGGAGACCGTCAGTAGTTTTCAGCAAAACAAGCCACGAAAACCTCTCCAGCCACTCGCTTTTGTACTTGTACAGAGCCTCCGCGTAAATCGCGTCAGGGCCAGCCGGTTTTGAAGGCCCGGGAACGGAAGGCGACACCTGCGTCCCTGTGATCACGGGCGACGACCATTGGTCGGCTAGTGAAGGGGGATTAGCTCCATCGTTACCGCCCTTGGTGCACCATGGCAGCGTCGATTGCGTGTATCTGGCATTTTTCTTTGCCACGGGTACCGCCGGTGTTTTTTCAACAGAAGGCGAGGAGCTGTCCTGCTCAATCACTGGCGCTGTAGGGGATGCACACAACCCCTCATTATCAATGGGTTCGAACAGACAAAATCCGGGCGGCGCGATTGCAGGTGCATCTCCAAGGTTGTCGACTTGCGCTAGGCTAGAGAGAAGCAGATCCAGGCTGGTCACAGCAGCGGAAAAATCAACAGTCGGGCGACGATGCGCATCATCGCCTTGGTCGACATTAACTGCCATGCCGTCTGGGGGTCCGGCATAGCTTGCAGCGCTATTGAACGAGCTAAGCTAAGAAGAGGTTTGCGGAGGGCATAACACTCGACACGGCTGACTGCCTCTTGGTACACAAGGCAGGAACGCGAGGAAACCCCACGGATGGAAAGGATGGAGCAGAATGCATGCCTGGATGGCTGGTAGCACGGCTGGGCGGCGTGGATGCAACCCATCATGGGAGGGAGCATCAGTGCTTGCCAACACGACATAGACAAAACGCGCCACAGGTGCAAGCAACGGGACAGAACCCTCGCATCGCAGCTTGCCAGCATCGCTGTGTTGCAACCTTCTGATTGGCCGACCCATATGATGCAGCAAAACTGGCCAATGATCTGCCCAGTCGCACCAACAAAACAGCCCTCAAAGTGAATAACACGGGGCAAATTTGTGTGGTTTTCACCGCCAGGCGGTGCTGACACCGCGGGAATCTGAGATTCCCTGTACTTCCGGGCAAATCCACTCGAAACGGTTAGGAATCGTATTCAGTTTCAGTTTCGTTACAACGGGAATCAGTGTCCCCATTTTTTTTTTCCTGAAAATTCAGAGTGATCTGGCTAAGTAAGCCTGAAAAATCAGTACCACAAAAAATTGAACACTGAAAGATCAGTGTAGGTACACTAAACCTCCCTGAAATTCAGGAATTTCAGGGTAAAATTCATGATATCATACGGCCTGTAGGCGACCATGCGAAATGTACAGTTGTGCGCATTTGATTGGGTGACACAAATGACTGTACACCCGTTTCTTCAACCGCCGGGCAGGGGTGTGGTTTCGATGCGCGGGATTTTTTCCCTCGCGAAATTGGCATTGCGGGGTGTCCAGGTGCATGTTGTCGTGTCAGGCATTTCGACGTCAGCGCGTTTCAAGCTGACCAGAGAAAAATACAGTAATGGTCGCTGAAAGGCGACTCGCATTTGGGACACAATACAGTTTACCGTACCTATGTTGTTTTTGGGTGTCACAAAGTGATTTGAGACACTTGTGTCGATAGAGGAATGTACTCTGCTGCAGGGTACACTTTGTGTCCCTTAGTGTCACAAAGTGTCACAAAGTTAACTTAGTTTTTTATACTCAACATGATACATTATTGTAAGTTAACCTATCGAGAGTTGTTCTAACCCTGCAGCAGAGAGAGCCACAGCTAGTTCCTGAGCCACTATTGGCTTCCTCACTGCTCCATCCATCCCCGCCTCTAAGCATGCTCTCTTGATCCCTGCATCTAAGCCAGCAGTCAATGCTATAATGCAAAGCCGCTGCTTTGTTGCATCATCTACACTCGTATCGGCTACTTTGCATATCTCTGTTGCACCTGTTTCCACTTTCATATGCTGTGCATTTTCCATGGCACGCACTCGACGAGCCGTTTCAAATCTGGAAGCATGCAATGGGTGGCAACACAAGGGAGGGGCCGGAGAGGAAAAACAAGCGCGCACAGAAACGCACAGAAGGCAATAATCCATGAAGCAACCGGCGAGACATGCTCAAGACAAGAGAAGATGGCAAGCGGCGATCAGAAATCGCAACAAAACCATATACTGCATCACTACCATGATGCAGAGAGGTTGCATTGCATCACGAAGGAGGTGAAGGAAAGGTGAAAGGAGGTGAAGGAGAGGTAAAGGAGAGGTTAAAGAGAGGTTTAGGAGAAGTAACGGAGAGGTTACAGAGAGGTTTAGGAGAATTAACGGAGAGGTTAAAGAGAGGTCTAGGAGAAGTAACGGAGAGGTGGAGAGGGTCGGGCAAGGCACGGACCCGTCAATGCCGGGCGGCATGTGGAGGTCGAGGAGCAGCAGGTGGATGGGCGGGGAGGGCGTGGCAGAGGAGAGCGCTTGCAGCGCCTCCTCCCCGGAGCACAGCAGCAGCACGTGCGCCCCGTAGCCCTGCAGCGTTCTGCGCGCCACCATGCGGTTCACCGCGTTGTCATCCACCACCGCCACCCGCCGCCCCGCCACCACCCCCCGCACCACCCCCTCTGCCCCTCCCACGCCCTCCACGCCCGGCCCGGCCCGCTCCACCCCCGCTTGCGGAAACGTGTGCGCATGAGCCAGCGCTCGCGCCTGCAGCTTCTGTGGTGCTGCTGGCTGCGCCGTGACAGCACTAGCTGGCCCCTCCGTGCCTACCCGCGGTCCGCTCTCTCGCCCCACACGCGCTCCCACAGCCCCCCCTGACTTCCCAACTTCCCCCTTCCCCTCCTTCCCTTCTCTGCTGCCGGCGTCCTCCCCTCCCCCCAGGGGTAGCGCCAGCAGAATGGTGGTGCCTGTGGAGGCGTCTGACAGCACTGCCATGCCCCCCCGCATCTCCGCCACCTGCCATGCAGGGAGAAGGAGAGGTGGGGGTGGGGGGGAGGGAGGGAAGGCAGGGGAAGCGGTTGTGGGGGATAGTCTGAAGGAAGGTATATCAGAGAAGAGGGAAGTTTGATTACAACAAACGTGTGTAGAAGGGATGTACGAGAATGGCACCTGATAGGTAGAGCAGGAAGCGATTCCGAGAACACCACCTTTCAATCGATTTGCGAGTGGTGCCAAAATACCTATCTGACTATGTTGAATGCGAATCCAAATCGAATACGAACCTCCATGCTCCTTCTAAGGTGAACATCTAGTTTTTCCTAGAACGAGCTTAGGTTTTACCCTTCACAACACTTCCTTATTACTCTACATGCACGATTCTGTCAACCGTTCAGCTATTTTTTTCCTTGACTCCTAAAGATTCCACATTTCCTATCATCCTAAAGATTCCTGGACTCGGATGAGGCCAATCAGTTCGAGGTGAATATTCCTAGCCTTGGCCAATTGCTCTGTCTACCGAATATAATGTAAACACTGAATTATTTGTTCACAGGCTTACTAACATGGCAGGGTGCTCAAAGGGGAAACCGAGGGCAGGCTGGGGCGCTCACAAGGGAGGTGGAGAGCAGGAAGCTCACAAGGGAGGTGGAGAGCAGGAAGCTCACAAGGGAGGTGGAGAGCAGGAAGCTCACAAGGGAGGTGGAGAGCAGGAAGCTCACAAGGGAGGTGGAGAGCAGGAAGCTCACAAGGGAGGTGGAGAGCAGGAAGCTCACAAGGGAGGTGGAGAGCAGGAAGCTCACAAGGGAGGTGGAGAGCAGGAAGCTCACAAGGGAGGTGGAGAGCAGGAAGCTCACAAGGGAGGTGGAGAGCAGGAAGCGAACAGGGTAGGGCGTCCAACGGGGGCCAGCAGCTGCCTTGCGGTCGCGCTGCAACGGATCCCACACGCTGCGATCCCGCTGCCTCAACGATGCCAACCTCCCCAAGCCCTTCCGTGAGTCCGCCCTCCCCAGCGACCGTATTCTCTCCTGTGTCAGTTTCCAAGGATTCGCAAATAAAATTCGAGCGACAGTTAAAGGTCTCGCATGGCCACGAGAGCCAGATATATATAGCGGACCGGAGCGGACCGGCGGTGCATGGTGGTGAACGGAGGGAGAACCGACTGCCTAATCACATCTAACTTACTTCAGTATATAATCAGATTGCTAACAACAATTTGGTTTGTGCAACAACGCAGGTCTGAAGAAAGAAACCAGGCAACATTTGAGTCGACTCAAAAGTCATCAGGTTGCTAACAACAATTCGATTTGTACAACAATGCAGGTGTGAAGAAAGAAACCAGGCACTGACCATGACTTTATGCTGCCCGTTGCCGTGCATGTCATGCGGCGAGTGGCAAGCAAGGCCATGTGGGTCTAGCAACCCCCACAGCTGCTCGGGTGGTATACCACCACCCGTGTCTTCACAGGCCACCACCACCATCCACTCGCCATCCGCCCTCACTGCACACGCCCCTTCCACCCACTCCCTCACCTCCTCCTCCAACCGCCCATCCCCGCCCTGCCTTTCCTCAGCACTGCCCATGTCGTCTCTGCTGCACACCTGCCCACCCCCATTGCCCACAGGCCCCCCCTGGCTGGCTAGTTGCCGCTGAGGAAGGCAGAGCAGTCGTGTAGGCGGCGGGAAGCGCTGCACACAGCCAGCCAGCTGGGGATATCCTGAGGACTCTGGGGGAGGCTCAGAGGAGGCTTGCGTGGCGCCTGTGGAAGCAGCGGCTGAAGCAGGTGGCGAGCTGGCGGCATGTGGAGGAGGGATGCACCAGAGGCGGATGGCTATGTGGCCGGCTGCCGTGTTGTTCATGGCACTGGCTGCATGAGGGAAGGGCGTGGTGGGGGGGGCAGGGGGGGTTGTGGGGGGGAAGGTGGAAGGGGGGAAGAGGCACAGGAGGGGATCATCTGCAATGGAATGCGTGGAAGAATAGCAGCTTAATGCCAACTATCAAATCACGTTGGGTTACCAGAATATGGGGCACAAACAAAACCCACCGCCGGGGCACTAGACCATAGCATCATTGCCTGGTCTCCTCCTCTCACAACCATTTCTCGACTCGTCCGAACTGCCCCCCCAACTATGAGCCCCTTCGCATCCCCCTCGTGTGCCCTTTGTTTAATCTTCTCCTCCCCCCTCCACAGCACAGAGACCCCTTGTCCTGCACACCTTCCTTCATAAATAGAAAATGCACCACCGAAGTCATCACAGGCCCTTATCGTGGATTACCAAAAGAGCAAAAGAGCAAAGAGCCTCCATGGAGTTGTGGGATTGACTCAGGCCCTTACCAGTCGCTCCTCCATGAAGTGGTGGGATGCTAAAAGAGCAATTCCCATCTCAATCCACTCTCCCACGTTCTCCCTTTTCTTTAGGTTGGTTGGTTTCTAAACACGCTCTTTTTGAGATTCTACATACCTTTACATGCCGATACAAAACTACACAACGAAGGTACATCCGCCGCGTAACAAAAGCAAGAGCTTGATATTGCGTGTGCGACAACAAATCACAACCCCATAAAACAAAACATGTGGTGACCAAATTACTATGTGTGAAAAAAAGAAAACTGATTGGTTTACGCACCCTCTCTCTTGTGGCAAACACACCCTCTCACCCTCTTTTGTTGACTCACCGACAAGTTCAGCCATGACTTGCAAGAGGCGACTTGGATCACCGATCAAAGTTTCTGGAACACTTTCATCAACGTGGACTGTCACTGTATTTAACAAACAATCAAAGAAACAAAGAAACGAAGAATAAAAAACTGAAACCACGATACATACGAAGTTTAGAAAGCCGGGAGAAGAGCGACCTAATCGCACACTCATACCTTGCAGATTCTTCCCCGGTTCAACAGTTGCAGTCGCCTCCTGAACGATGCGGCGCAAGCAGCAGGGGAGAGTCTCGAGCTGCAGCCTGCCGGCCTGCAGCTTGGCGAGGTCCAACACTCGGTTGATTAGCTCCACTGTCTCGCCCGCACACGCCCTCGCCACCCGCAGGTCCTCCTGCTGCCACTCCTCTAATGGCGAATCCAATAATTCCTCGATCATGCCTGCCGGTGGGCAAGAGGCACAACCCGAAAGGAGGATTTCACGGCAAATGATTGCATGCACATTGTGTGTAGAAACACCTGGAAATAAAAGGGCATTGCGTAACTTTTGGTGTAATGCATGTATGCATGCTCTCACCCATCATGCGACGCTCGCACCCATCATGCCATGCTCACTCACCCATCATGCCATGCCCTCACTCACCCATCATGCCATGCTCCCATCCATCATGCCATGCCCTCACTCACCCATCATGCCAATGATTGGGGTGCGCAGCTCATGCGACGTGCTGGCCACCGCCTCACTCTTGGACCGCTCAGCTCTCTCCAAGATGACCGTGCACAGCTGAATCTCCTTCACATCCGCTTCTAAACTCCTCTTCTTCCGAACCAACACTGCAATCACGGTGGACAGCAGCACTGCCACCAGCAACACCAGCAAGCCCAGCAGCATGGGAGCATACACGAGGTCCCACTTGGGGTAGGGGCCCTCAAACCTGCACATTGGCATTTGGGCATTTATGTGAAGTGAAGGAGACAGATTTCATGTTATGAGACATTAGCAGCACCAGCAGGCCCAGCAGCATGGGATCATACACGAGGTCCCAAGCAGGAAGGGGAACCAGATACTTACACATTGAAAAGACAGAAGGTAAGACAACGCACCATTCACTTTGTTCTTCAGAATGTCGTTAACCATTACCATAGGAGGATTTTCGGGAAAAAATGAGCGTTTTGGATTTCGACACTGAAGTTCTGCTCATGCCTACTCATGCGTACATCCCTACTCATGTTTGCAACCCGCGACTGTATTCATACCCGCAGTGTGCTTCAAATGTCCGTCCCATCATGTCCTCAGGGAAAGGCTCCACATGCTCGGGAGGCACATCCATGGACGTGGGCAGCACCCACGTGGGCAGCACCCACGTGGGCAGCACCCACAGGCACAACAATGCATACATACCCACAGTGTGCTTCGAATGTGCGTCCCATCATGTCCTCAGGAAAAGGCTCCACATGCTCGGGAGGCACAACCGCAGGTGCTGGCAGCACCAGCACCTAGGCGAACACAGACCCGCTCATGTGTGGTGTGGCACGTACATACTACATACTACATACCCGCAGTGTGCTTCAAACGTCCGTCCCATCATGTCCTCAGGGAACGGCTCCACATGCTCGGGAGGCACAACCACAGGCGGCGGCAGCACAAAGGGGAAGGCAGAACCGCTTTCCAATCGTGGCTCCTCTGGACCGTAGATTTGCCTCAGCACGCCTGTTTCAGTGTTGTCATACATGGCAAATGAGTGTGTGCTGCTCCCTGGAGGAGAGAATGGATAGAATGGAGCGCGCAAGTCAATGTGGGATTCAGAATTACAAGCATGCTCAGCAAGAAGAAAGGTTTTCATACCATACATTTGATATAGGCAAATTGGACCCAACCCTAGCGCTAGCCTTCAGCCCATAGCCGTACCCCAAACCCCCCGATCACCATGCTAGCCCACCCACCCAGCTACCAGAACGTGTCCGAGGTAACTCAAAAGTCGGGTCGCGGGTCGATCGATCCCACCAGCATGGTCAAAAAGACCTGACAAACAAGGGCCAGTTGGGTCTTGGGTCGACCCTACGCGAGCCAAATAACCCATCCCTCGACACGGTCGGTCGGGCCTTCCCATTCCCACTGACCCGACCCGAGCCAAATACCCATCCCTCCCATCCCTCGACACGGTCGGGAGTCGGACAGGCCATCGAACGGACCCGACCCGAGCCGAATAAATACCCATCCCTCGACACGGCCAGGTTGGGTCATTGCACTGACAACAAAGAGTTCAACTCTACTGTCGTTCTTCTGCTAAAGAATTCTCCTAAGCTGCAGCTCGCCTAGTCTAATGGCTGACGGGCAATCACACTGAACCGACCCGGGCCGAATAAATACCCCATCCCACGGTCAGGTCGGGTCATTGCACTGACAACAAAGAGTTCAACTCTACTGTCGTTCTTCTGCTAAAGAATTCTCCTAAGCTGCAGCTCGCCTAGTCTAATGGCTGACGGGCAATCACACTGACCCGACCCGGGCCGACCCGTTGCTCGTGCCTCAAGAACTCACCATTTTCAAGCATGTGCAATAGCTGCCGGGCCATCATTTCAAGATGCACCACGCCGGCCCACGCACTGCTTATGCTGCGCCGGATTTGCTCCACAGACGCACCGGCTGGCAGCGGATGGCGGAAGATGGGAACAATAAACACTGCAAGGAAAGCCGGCAGGAGAGGGAGGAAGGGCGTACTGAACGGTTTGATAAAGGGTCCCTTCCCTTCTTTCAGAAGCGTTTCCCACAAATTTGGGAGTCCCTTTTGAGAATTCTCAAAAGTGAATCTCGAACGGTTTGATGAAGGGTCCCTTCCCTTCTTTCAAAAGCGTAGAGATGTGCCCAAGTTGTGTTATCAAAGGCCTGCGCCCTGGCTGACTTGATCAGACGACATGTGGCGATAGACAGAATGCACGGTCAGGTCAGGTTGATAGAGAAGAAGGGCAATTTCAGCGTCCACAGTAGCTTAGGATCAGACGACATGTGGCGACAGACAGAGTGCAGAGAAGAAGGGCATTGGAGCAGTCTGGCTGGCCCACATTGCAAAGCACATGGTCAATGAGACCTAGTAGCATCCTCTTGAAGAGCTTTTGAGAATTCTCAAAAGTCACACCTAGTAGCATCCTTCTTGAAGAACCCTGCCTAGTGTTGTGGTCCCAATACCGATTGGAGGCTTAACCATGGTGTTGCAGGGCATTTTTGAGAATTCTCCAAAATAGCCAACTGTTGTGGTCCCAAAATACCGAATGGAGGCTTAATCATGGATCGCCAGTAGAAGGCAAGTGCAAGAAATACTATTTCATGAAGGGGTGAAGAATGAAGAATGGAATTCGCAAGATCAGCGATAATCTCCTATTGCAAACCACACTTTCGCAAACATAAGACGAGATGGGAATGACGCGTGAAACATCAAGAGAGGTAGGGGCACGGGAGGAAAGAGGAGCGCACGAACCGATTGCCACGTATCCAGGTCCAGTGGAGAGAGGAGCGCCCGCGACAGTCTGCCCTCTCAGCAGATTGGTGCGGAGAACCGGGGGGACGAGAGGAAAGAAGTCGGTGAAGGGCTGCACTGGAAATTCGGGGTTGATGCTGCCAAACACGTTCACTCCGTACAGATCCTTCTTTGGGGCGGGCAGGCCCAGCACGGACTGGATTGTATGGCCTATTATGCTCTCCACTAGTGGCCTGGAGTGCAGGGCGGGGAGGAGAGGAGCAGGGAAAGGTGGTGTAGATGCTGCGCTGCCATTCACGTTCACTCCATTGAATGCTTCCGTGGGGCGGGCAGGCCCAGCACTGACTGGATTGGATGCCCTATGATGCTCTAAGCGTATATTCCAACTTAGATGCTCTCCACGCCTGCAGGGAGGGGAGAAGGGGAGCAGTGCCAGTGCGAAGCAACGAGCCCACTGCCACAGCTGCATTGAAAGAGGTAGGCGCGTTGAGCAAACGGCCCGGGACAAGGCCCAGCACTGACTGGATTGTATGCCCTATGATACTCTCCACCGGGGCCTGCAGGGAGGGGAGGAGAGGAGCAGTGAAATCTGTGTGGATATAACCTGCCTTGGTCGGCACGGCAGTGAATATGATCATGATGATGGTGCCTGCCCGTGCTGAAGGCATGAAATGACCGGGGCTACGATTGGGACCCCAGCAGGTGGTACTTGGTGTTTGAACTAGTGTTTTGAGACGTCTCAAACACACTACTTCAAATCAAACACATGAAATGACCGGGGCTACGATTGGGACCCCAGCTGGTGGTACTTAACAGGCATGGGTTGGGTTGGATTGGAACCCATGGATCTGACCTGGCTTGGTGGGTGGCAGTCCTCACCTGGCTTGGTGGGTGGCAGTCCTCACCTGGCTTGGTGGGTGGGTGGCAGTCCTCACCTGTCTTGGTGGGTGGCAGTCCTCACCTGGCTTGGTGGGTGGCAGTCCTCACCTGGCTTGGTGGGTGGCAGTCCTCACCTGGCTTGGTGGGTGGCAGTCCTCACCTGTCTTGGTGGGTGGCAGTCCTCACCTGGCTTGGTGGGTGGCAGTCCTCACCTGGCTTGGTGGGTGGCAGTCCTCACCTGGCTTGGTGGGTGGCAGTCCTCACCTGTCTTGGTGGGTGACAGTCCTCACCTGGCTTGGTGGGTGGCAGTCCTCACCTGGCTTGGTGGGTGGCAGTCCTCACCTGTCTTGGTGGGTGGCAGTCCTCACCTGGCTTGGTGGGTGGCAGTCCTCACCTGTCTTGGTGGGTGACAGTCCTCACCTGGCTTGGTGGGTGGCAGTCCTCACCTGGCTTGGTGGGTGGGTGGCAGTCCTCACCTGTCTTGGTGGGTGGCAGTCCTCACCTGTCTTGGTGGGTGACAGTCCTCACCTGGCTTGGTGGGTGGCAGTCCTCACCTGGCTTGGTGGGTGGCAGTCCTCACCTGGCTTGGTGGGTGGCAGTCCTCACCTGTCTTGGTGGGTGACAGTCCTCACCTGGCTTGGTGGGTGCAGTCCTCACCTGGCTTGGTGGGTGGCAGTCCTCACCTGGCTTGGTGGGTGACAGTCCTCACCTGGCTTGGTGGGTGGCAGTCCTCTGCGGAGATAACTTTAGCAACGGGAGCTAGGTTGCGGGCTAGGCACGGGTGCTCGTGTGATCTCTGCTTTCGTTGTTCCTTAGTCGTTTTCCTAGTGCACACATTGCTTGCTAGTTCACGGGGAAATTTGGGAAGAGTTTTACTAGAGAAAGTTGACAACAATGATTGATACAACATTGGCAACACAGACTACATCAGAGCTAGCTAGGTTGCTGGTCGACCTCCAGCGCAGCATGGTCGACCGCGATCCAGTGCAACAGAGCTCGCACCGCTCCAGCGTTGCAGAGTAGCGGTTTGCCAACGTTGCAAGTCCATGGTGTGCCAACGCTGCAGCAAGTCGGCTGCACAGCGTTGCACCCGCAGGACAACGGTGCACCTGCTTCGTAGGTGCGTGCAGCTGGTTGGTGCACCACTCCTTGTCACGTGCACAGCGCAGACGTCCAGGTCGAGTCCACGCCAGTGGATGCGCCTATCAGCCACGTCGACCTCGGGATACCACTTCCGAGGTCGGCCTCGCAAAAGCCTCCCCGGCGACCTTCACACACGTCGCCCGGGTATCCAGGTTGACCGGGCAACCACGCTTGGTCGCCCAGCTCAGTTGGTCGCCGGCTACACCTGACCGGCGTCCCTAGAAGAGGTGTCCCAGCACCCAGGTCGGCGTCCTGACGCCTAGGTCGGCGTCCAGGTGCTCAGGACACCGTGCAGACGCCCAGGTCGACGTCCAGGCACCCAGGGCGCCGTCCAGACGCCCCAGGTCGGCGTCCAGGCGCCCAGGACGCCGTCCAGATGCCTAGGTCGGCGTCCAGCCTCCCATGACGCCGTCCAGGCGCCCAGGTCGGCGTCCAGCCTCCCAGGACGCCGTCCAGGCGCCCAGGTCGGCGTCCAGCCTCCCAGGACGCCGTCCAGGCGCCCAGGTCGGCGTCCAGCCTCCCAGGACGCCGTCCAGGCGCCCAGGTCGGCGTCCAGCCTCCCAGGACGCCGTCCAGGCGCCCAGGTCGGCGTCCTCCTGCTAGGCGCCCTCCAGCTCGGCGCCCTCACTGCAACAGATCGGCTGCGCTCCCCACACACCCGACTACGAAGTCGGCTCCGCCCAAGCGAGGACGGGGCCAACCACAACTCCCGTTGACATCCTCACCTGGCTTGGTGGGTGGCAGTCCTCACCTGGCTTGGTGGGTGACAGTCCTCACCTGGCTTGGTGGGTGGCAGTCCTCACCTGGCATGGTGGGTGGCAGTCCTCACCTGGCATGGTGGGTGGCAGTCCTCACCTGGCTTGGTGGGTGGCAGTCCTCACCTGGCATGGTGGGTGGCAGTCCTCACCGGTCTTGGTGGGTGACAGTCCTCACCTGGCATGGTGGGTGGCAGTCCTCACCTGGCTTGGTGGGTGACAGTCCTCACCTGGCTTGGTGGGTGGCAGTCCTCACCTGTCTTGGTGGGTGGCAGTCCTCACCTGGCTTGGTGGGTAGCAGTCCTCACCGGTCTTGGTGGGTGACAGTCCTCACCTTGCTTGGTGGGTGGCAGTCCTCACCTGGCTTGGTGGGTGACAGTCCTCACCTGGCTTGGTGGGTGGCAGTCCTCACCGGTCTTGGTGGGTGACAGTCCTCACCTGGCTTGGTGGGTGGCAGTCCTCACCTGGCTTGGTGGGTGGCAGTCCTCACCTGGCTTGGTGGGTGGCAGTCCTCACCGGTCTTGGTGGGTGACAGTCCTCACCTGGCTTGGTGGGTGGCAGTCCTCACCTGGCTTGGTGGGTGACAGTCCTCACCTGGCTTGGTGGGTGGCAGTCCTCACCTGTCTTGGTGGGTGGCAGTCCTCACCTGGCTTGGTGGGTGGCAGTCCTCACCTGGCTTGGTAGGTGACAGTCCTCACCTGTCTTGGTGGGTGGCAGTCCTCACCTGGCTTGGTGGGTGACAGTCCTCACCTGGATTGGTGGGTGGCAGTCCTCACCTGGCTTGATGGGTGGGTGGCAGTCCTCACCTTGCATGATGGGTGGGTGGCAGTCCTCACCTGGCTTGGTGGGTGGCAGTCCTCACCTGGCTTGGTGGGTGGCAGTCCTCACCGGTCTTGGTGGGTGACAGTCCTCACTTGGCTTGGTGGGTGACAGTCCTCACCTGGCTTGGTGGGTGGCAGTCCTCACCTGGCTTGGTGGGTGGGTGGCAGTCCTCACCTGTCTTGGTGGGTGACAGTCCTCACCTGGCTTGGTGGGTGGCAGTCCTCACCTGGCTTGGTAGGTGACAGTCCTCACCTGTCTTGGTGGGTGGCAGTCCTCACCTGGCTTGGTGGGTGACAGTCCTCACCTGGATTGGTGGGTGGCAGTCCTCACCTGGCTTGATGGGTGGGTGGCAGTCCTCACCTTGCATGATGGGTGGGTGGCAGTCCTCACCTGGCTTGGTGGGTGGCAGTCCTCACCTGTCTTGGTGGGTGGCAGTCCTCACCTGGCTTGGTAGGTGACAGTCCTCACCTGTCTTGGTGGGTGGCAGTCCTCACCTGGCTTGGTGGGTGACAGTCCTCACCTGGCTTGGTGGGTGGCAGTCCTCACCTGGCTTGGTGGGTGGCAGTCCTCACCTGGCTTGGTGGGTGGCAGTCCTCACCTGGCTTGGTGGGTGGCAGTCCTCACCTAGCTTGGTGGGTGGCAGTCCTCACCTGGCTTGGTGGGTGGCAGTCCTCACTTGGCTTGGTGGGTGACAGTCCTCACCTGGCTTGGTGGGTGGCAGTCCTCACCTGGCTTGGTGGGTGGCAGTCCTCACCTGGCTTGGTGGGTGGCAGTCCTCACCTGGCTTGGTGGGTGGCAGTCCTCACCTGGCTTGGTGGGTGGCAGTCCTCACCTAGCTTGGTGGGTGGCAGTCCTCACCTGGCTTGGTGGGTGGCAGTCCTCACCTGGCTTGGTGGGTGGCAGTCCTCACCTAGCTTGGTGGGTGGCAGTCCTCACCTGGCTTGGTGGGTGACAGTCCTCACCCACCTGGCGGTTGTGCTTCTGCACTGCGCTTGACAGGCTTGCATTAAAGCCCTTGAACATGGAGCATCTGACCTGTCTTGGCGGGTGACGATCATGAGGATGGTGCCTGTGCTGAAGTTGCCTATTTTATCCGCCTGGAGGTTATAGTCCATCATCGAGTTGTAATTCACACACCCCGCCAGCCCCCAGTAGCTCAGGTTGCTGCTGCTGCGCGGGCCAAAGTGACCGAGGGTCCGTACCACCCCGATTGCCTCCTGCAGAATGAGGCGGGAGACAGAAGGAGAAGAGGGGGGAGGGAGGTGAGGGGGGGAAGGAAAGGGGGAGGGGGTTTGGGCGTGCGGGGATGTTGCTGTCGCAGCGCCGTCCTAAGTGCCCGCAAGGCAGTTACCAGCCCGATTGACTCCTGTAGCAAGAGATGTGAGACAGGACGGAGGGGGTGAAAGGGAAAAAAGGGAAAGGGGGGGGGGGGGGGGGGGGGGGGGGGGGGGGGGGGGAGGGGGGGGGGGGGTGCGGGGATGTTGTTCCTGCGGCGCGCCCACATGTGCCCCCAGGCAGTTACCAGCCCAATCAACTCCTGCCGCGAGAGATGGGAGACGGGAGATGTAGGCATTGGGACTCAGGGGGTGGGGGAGGAGAGAGAGATAATAAGGTGAGATGGGTCACGGGAGGGATGGAGGGACGGAGGGGCGGAGGGACAGAGGAAAGTGGGTATGGGAAAAAAATGGATCGGTAGGGATGAGCAAGGGGCGAACACGAACATGTTCGTGTTCGCCCCGAACACATCCGTTTGCCGAACCGAACACTGTTCGGTTCGGCGAAGCAAAAACAGGTGTTCGCCGTTCGCCTGTGAAGGCGTGTTCGGGCGAACCTCGAACACGTTCGTATTCGTCGCGGGGCAAATTGCAGCAGCGGCCCGAACACGAACGTGTTCGGGCGAACCTCGAACACTGTTTGGCGAACACTTTAAGCAAAAAAAATAAACCTGTTCGGTTCGCCTCGAACGTGTTCGAGGCGAACCGAACAGGTGTTCGCCCTTGTGCTCATGTCTAGATCGGTTGCAAGAGGGAGGGCGGCGAGCGGTGCGTGGGGTGGGGAGGGAGGAGCGAGAAATAAATGGGTGAGCGAAGTGCAGAGCATGCGCGGATGGGGTCAGAGCACTGCGGTGCATGCGGATGGGGTAAGAGCAATGCGGTGCTTGCGGATGGGGTAAGAGCAATGCGGTGCATGCGGATGGGGTAAGAGCACTGCGGTGCATGCGGATGGGGTAAGAGCACTGCGGTGCATGCGGATGGGGTAAGAGCAATGCGGTGCTTGCGGATGGGGTAAGAGCAATGCGGTGCATGCGGATGGGGTAAGAGCATGCGGTGCATGCGGATGGGGTAAGAGCAATGCGGTGCATGCGCATGGGGTAAGAGCAATGCGGTGCATGCGGATGGGGTAAGGGCAATGCGGTGCTTGCGGATGGGGTAAGAGCAATGCGGTGCTTGCGGATGGGGTAAGAGCATGCGGTGCATGCGGATGGGGTAAGAGCAATGCGGTGCTTGCGGATGGGGTAAGAGCAATGCGGTGCATGCGCATGGGGTAAGAGCAATGCCGTGCATGCGGATGGGGTAAGAGCACTGCGGTGCATGCGGATGGGGTAAGAGCACTGCGGTGCATGCGCATGGGGTAAGAGCACTGCGGTGCATGCGGATGGGGTAAGTGTAGCAGAGGTCCTCTTCTCGAATGTGGTTTGGCAACTGAGAGTTGAAGCTAAGCTGGAAGAGTGAGCGATGGAAGACTGAGGGCTGGAAGGCTGAGCGATGGAAGTTCGAGCGCATGCATGGCACCGCGAGTGAGATGTGGAAAGAGGGAAGGAAAAGACGGTAGCAGCATGACGCGAAGGCGCGTGGAGGGACTTCTAAGTATCAGTGCAGATGGAGGTGGAGGGACGGCGAAGGGGTAATCGCACGAGCGACGACCATTGTGGTTGGGCGGGTCGGAGGCATGCAGGCAGGCGAATCCTAAGGTGGGAGAGTAGCAGGCTCTGGCAGCTGTCACGATTTTCTGTATGACGTCCCGTTAGGCCCCTGGGCCTGAATGGGGGACATTCAGAGGCGTTGCAATGCCTCTAAACCCGTCACATATTCAGGCACCCGTGTGGAAGTCCACAGACGTCACATTCTGAGACACTCGTTTGGGTCGTTTGGTTTTACTGGGGACACGGAAACGTCACCACGAAGGAAGGGGGAGAGGAAGGGGAGGAGGGGGCAAGCGGAAGGCGAGGGGCCGCGGTTCGACTGCTGCTAGGGCGAGTGAATCGCCGCGTTCTCCGAGAATTCTGAATAAAAGGCTAAAATGTGATTCGTTTAAGGTTTGTCAGCCGGTCAGATGGGCTCATACTAGTAGAAACGTTTTCTCCGCCAGTGGCGGGTCGCCGGCTCACCTGCGCGCGCGCGAATGGACACGCGAGGGGAGAATTTTCCCGGCTTATCGCGCGTACCTGCGCGCGGGAGATGGACGATCGGATGTCCTGCTGGAGGTATCGCACGCGCGTGCGACACCACGCTCGCATCGCCTCCTGCCGCGGATTGGCGGCCTGCGAATGCGCGAACCACACCACCCACGCGCACAGCCCCACCCATCCCGCCACCCACGCCGCCAACAGCAGCGCCCTCGCCACACCCGGCGGCAGGCGGGCCGGGGAGAAGCGATGCGCCTGCGACGACCGCATGCGGCGCGCGGCGGAAGCAGGCGATTTTAACGTGCGCGGAACGGGGAACGGGTGCGTCACAGCTGAGGACAAACACCTAAGCACGTTAAGGGCGGGTCTTTCTCGTTCGTTTGCATGCATGCGATTCAGTGAGATGTCACACTTTGTCCATTGGTCGGGTCAATGTTCAGACTGGTCGGGATGGGTAGCAAAGTCGAACTGAAAATTACCCGCCCTAAGGAGGTGAGGATCCTAGATCAGACAGAGAATGCTGGCAGGGATAGTTTGAGCAGCCCTGTTTTGGTGGGGGTTGATTACGTGCCCGGCCAGGCCAGCGTGAGTGAGTGACAAAAACGAATTGATGCTGAATGCTGTAAAGGCATGTCCAAAGTGCCTGACCCACGTCCATCCATCTTCCGACGGACGTCGGTGGTGGACGGAGAAGATTGACGGATGTTGGTGCACTTACGACAAAAGTTCCCAAATCGGGACTTTTTTACGACAGTCGAGTTTGAGTCTGTTACGCTAGAACCTACCATCGCAGCACATTTCGCCTTGAATTTCCATTTTCGCAGCACATTTCGCCGTGGTTTTCCGTTTTCTTACCAGGCCGTTTGGGAGCCCGAGTTTACTGTTGCCAGCACCCTCCACTGTTCTGATTGCGTGGTGCTGGATGTCAATGGCTGGAACAACAGTACAAGAACTCACGTTACACAATATTGGCTAGATCCTTACTGCAACAAGTATAAGAACATGCAATGAATTAACCAGCCGTCCATTGCCCCCATTTAGTGCTGTATGACGTGTACGTATATGAAGTTAACACTGACGAATAAGCCACCCCCGAAACAAATCCGAGGGCCTGGGCACAACGCTCCATATGAAGGCGCATGCGCCTAGCCTAATGTTAGAGTAAGGACCTTGGATAGGATAGGAATGCCTTAGAAGAGTTTGGTAGCGGAAGTCTTAGTTGTAGGAACTCTGATCATAGTGAATGTAGATGACAAAGTTTATTAAAACAAATATTACACACATAATAAATAGTTCCTAGCTAGCCATGTACTCTGAGGGGTACATTCCCTTATTCTAACTGCTTTACAGGCATTTCTACAGTGACTCTGACTGTTGCACTACTTTCTTGTTACCGAGTCGCTGCATGTAACTTGTCCATACGGTTACGCCTGTTGCCATTCCTTGATGGTAAGTCAAACGTCGGTCCAGATGGTAAACAGTCGCGACAGTTGACTCTTGCGACTGTTGACCTTCCTGCCCTTGATACGGGCCGATCCGATACTGCGGTTGTTGCTGCTTCGATAAGGACTGGTGCGATACTGCTGCACCTACAGGAATGCTAAGTATAATTCCCTTCATACTCCAACACTCCCCTTCATTCCTGGAGGTGCGCCACGTGGCTCTTTCGAACGACTCCGCACAGGTCCGAGCAGTACTGGAACTTCTGACGTGGTAGTTTCTTCGTCAGAAAATCAGCTGCCATTTCGCTATTTGGGTAGTAGGTGAGCTGGACCTTCCCTTTGTCGATTTCATCCTTGACGAAGAAGTAAAGCAGGGCGATGTGTTTCGTGCGGTTGACGAAGCCTGGTTTGCTTGCGATTTTGATCGCGCTCTGGTTGTCGCAGAGTAACTTGAAGGACCCGTTCATCGCCGTCTTCGTTTCCTGTAGGAGTTCCGTGAGGTAGAGACCTTCGCGAACTGCTGCGCTTGCTGCGATGAATTCTGTTTCTGCTGACGAGAGGGCGATGAGCTCCTGCTTCTGTGAGTTCCAGGAGACAGTTCCTGCAGGCTCAAGTTTGAAAATAAAGCCTGTGCGGGATCTCCTGTTGTCTGCGTCCCCTGCGTGATCCGCATCCACATAGCCGGTAAGCTGTAGAGTAGCCGTTAGGTTCGCTGTGTAGGTGAGGCCGACATCGGGCGTAGAGATGAAGTACTGTAAGGCGCGGCGCAAGTCTGCCAGGTTCTCCCCTTCAGGTCGACGCAGGTACTGGGCGAGCTGGCTGGCGATGTAGGATAAGTCCGGGCGGCATGTGACGGCGGCGAACAATAGGCACCCGAGCTGCTGCTGGTAGAGGCGGTGATCTGCCTGTGAGAGCGGGGTAGTGTCGGGCTCGTGGTTAGGCGGAGGAGTGCGGAATGGGGTAGTGCCGACGGGAGCGATGCCGAACTTCTTAGCGAGTGTTTCGACGTATTTCGCGGTAGAGAGGTGGATTGTGTCGGCGGTCTGGGTGACGTTGAGGCCGAGGAATTGCGTGACCTCGTGGTCAATGGTTACTTCCAGCTTCGCCTAGATGTCGCGTTCGAAGCGATCGAGTAGTTCTGTGTCGTCTCCGGTGTAGAGGAGATCATCCACGTAGGCGACGAGCAGGATGAAGTGACCGCGGGATTCGAGGCGGTACATCCTCTGATCGTGAGGGAGCTGCTGGAAGCCGAGCTCGATGAGCACAGTGTGAAGGTACTGCTGCCACAGACGTGGTGCCTGCTTGATGCCATACAGGGACTTTTGGAGGAGGCAGATGGCGTCGCCGTCTTCCTCGAAGGCGTGCGGCTGCTCAACGTAGATGATGGCGTCGACGATCGCGTAGAGGAAAGCGTTGGAGACGTCGATCTTGCGGAGGGGACGCTGCTTCACGGCGGCGATGCAGAGAAGAATCCGCACAGAGGTGTGGCGACCGACAGGTGCGAATGTTTGATCGTAGTCCACGAATTGAGTCTGCTCGAATCCGCGAACGACCCAGCGTGCCTTGTATTTGTCAATAGTCCCATCCACGAGAGTTTTAATCCTGAAGACCCATTTTTCCGTAAGAATTTTCCTCCCCTTTGTGTGTCGTCGAGGTACCAGCTTCCAGGTGCCACGTCGCTGGAGTGCAGCGACTTCTGCGGCCATGGCGGCTCTCCACTTCTCAGCATCAAGTCCACTGAGAGCTTGACAAACAGTGGTGGGCTCGACCAGCTGCTGGTTACCCCGAACGGTGACGGCGAGGCCAAGGATGCGAAGGTCCGTGAGGTTGGATTCAGCTGTGTTGGTAACTTCAACCACGTCGTCGTCGTCGCCAGGGATGTCGCGGATAGTGTCGCGAGAAGAATTGCGGGCGGGGTCTTCGTCCATGGGTAAGTGCATTTCTGCACTTGCGTAGTCGTGCTGTGCCTGTACTGCTTCGTGATTATCGGTCTCCGTTGGGAAGAATGTGGCTGTCCCGAATTCCTCCGTAACGGGTACGAAGGGTGCCTCGTCCCCAGTTGCCGTGTCTGGCTGTTCTCCTGCCACGTCGACGTCGTCCTAGTCATTTGCGTAGCTGTGCTGTCCCTGAAAAATGTTGTCCGGTGCGTTTTGTGCAGTGTGATGCTGGCGGTACAGTGGTAGAGTCAGACTTTCGTAGAAGATGTAGTCACGTGAACCCGTGAGCTGGTGGCTGGCGAAGTCCAGGATTGTCCAGGCGTGGTATTCGGATTCGATTCCGAGGTGAATGCCCCAGCGGGCGCGGTCTTCGAATTTTCCGGTCCGGGCAGTGTGGGGGCGGTACTGTACCATGCACCCGAAGACCCTCAGCATGCGTGTGTCAGGGTGTTTTCCGGTCCACTCCTTAAAGGGTGAGGTGTTGTTGGGCAGTGCTTTCGAAGAAAGCATGTTGTGCAGTTGAACTGCATGCACCATCACAAAGGGCCAATATTTGGTTGGCACAACCGACTGCTTCATGAGAGCTCGCATCTTTATCGCGAGGCTCCTGTTGGTGCGCTCAGCCAATCCCTGCTGCTCGTGAGCGTAGGGGAGGGAAATCATCCTCTTGATTCCCTTCTGCTTGCAGAGGGTTTTGAACTCCTCCGTCTGATACTCCAGGGCTCCGTCTGCCTGAAATGCTTTCAGCTTCTGTCCGTCGCTCTGTGTCTCCGCCATGCTTAGCCAGATCTCGAAGCATTGGTAGGCAAGATAACGGTTGCTTACGTTTACGGCCCACACGAAGTGGGTACCGGCATCGATGAAGGTAAGTGTGTACTGCTCCCCTCCAACTCCTTTTGCCGTGAGTACCAGGAAGTCGCTGTAGACTTTCTCGAGTGGCGCGTAGCGTTCGGCTCCGGGGATTTTCTCGGCGAAGGGCGTGTGACGTAGCGCGGCTGCGGGACAGACGGTGCAATTGGGTAGGTCAGTTCGAGGCTTGAGTAACTTTCCATCTGGCAGCAACAGTGCGTCTACCGCAAAGACGTTTGCGTTGATGCAGTTGTTGAGCACTTCAATTGATGGGTGTCGCATGCGTTGGTGCCAGATTTCTCCGTCGGCCCTGTATCCCTTAGTGCGCGCGTAAAGCTCCTTCTCCCGTGCTAGTATTGCTGCTGCGGTGTCTGTTCCGACTTGTTCTGCAGGTTCATCGGGGATGGTAACTCGGACTGCTGCTGCTTGAAGTGTTGTGCCGTGGTACGTTCCGCTGCTGTCGCCGATGGTGGATGTGTCGGTCATCACCGGAAGCTCCAGCGGTCCTTCGGGAGGCGGTGGTGAGACGCGTGGGCGGCGATCTTCTGGCTGCGTGATCTCCCCTTCTTCGAAGTCAGTGTCGCCTATCGCTGCTCCCCTTGTCTCGATGCGAAGGTAATCCCTCCCGTCCGTCGTGATCGGAAGGAAGTGAGGGCCGTACTCCGTCAGTGATTCTTCTTCTTCTACTTCTAGTGCTTCCTCAGTGACCTGTGGTTCTTCTGCTGCTTCTATTTCAACTGCTGTAGATCCTTTGGCAATGGTTCCCCAACCGGTTTCAGCGGCAATAGCCTCTCCCAGCGCAGTGTTCTCCATGATCCAGCGTGTGTCCACGACGTCCCAGCCTTCAGTGGTGTTCCAACCGGTAAGTTGTTCAACGCGAGGCCAAATTGCTCGTGCCTATCCTCCGACTTCAGTGTTTGCCGTTTCCGCAACTGCCGTTTCTGATGTGATTTTGTCTCCTTCTTCCACCGCTTGTGGTCCGGTGTCTGCAGGGTTCGTGGTCGAGGCGACGGGTACGGCAAGAGCGCGGAAGGTTCCATCGAGGCCGGGCTGCTGATGGTCAGTTTCCTCTGGATGGCTCCACCGTGGGGGCGACGGGTGACCGGGCGGATCGAGGACGAGGATGTGTTGGTTGTCGCCAGAGGTGTTGGGTGAGTCAAAGTCGAGTACGAATACTCCTTCGATGCTTGTCGCCTTCCCGATGAAGATTCCGTCGTATATTAAGTGGAGTTCGTTTTCGGTTGCTTGCAGGCCGACTCGACACTTCATCAGCTGGTCAACGGACAGAAGGTTGTACTGGAGCTCGGGTACAACGAGGACGTCGCTGATGTGGATGCAGTAGCCGGTGTCATGTGATTCCAGTTGGATTTGACCGCGACTCCTGGCATGGATGGTTTGGCTATTAGCGACAGTGATCTCCACCTCGATGAAGAGTGCTTCGCTGTTGAGGATGAAGACGCTTGATGACACCATGTGTTGGCCGCAGCAACTATCCAGGTACCATTTGTTGACTTCTTTCCTTGCCTTCGCGAGATTGGCGAGCTTCGGAGTGATGTGATGCTCCATGTCGTGCTCGTTTTCGTAGTCGTAGTAACATCCTTCCTCATCGTATGCGATGCGTGCAGGTGGTGACTCTTGAATCCACTACGGCGCTTCCCAGTCATACTGCATCCGTCCGACCGTCAGCTCGTCGTAGGTTGGATCGTTCTCTTCTTCTTCTTCTTCAACTGACCCTTCGGGTCGCTCCTGAGGCGGGTCTGCGAACATGTCCTCCCAACTGCAAAAGAAGCGGTAGTGACGGTTTGGGCGAGGCGGTCCTCGACGCACCATGCAAGTCAAGACCTTGCTTTTGCCCTTGTCGTTTGTGTTCGCAGAAATCCGCCCCGGGGCTTGAGACGTGCTGGCGACGGCTGATGGTGACACTATCTGGTTGCGTGTTGGAGCTCCTCCTTGCTGGTGAGTTACGGCACCCTTCTGGTTGTTGTTGTTGCCGTTTAGCTTCCAGCAGTGTTGAATCATGTGTCCTATCTTCTTGCAGTATTTGCAGAAGAGTCTTTTCTTGTCCGGTGGCGCTTGCGCGTAGAAAGCAATCTTCTCCTTCTTGTTGCCTCTTTCGTTGTACAGGTCGATTTCCTTCTGCTCGGAGAGAAGCATGGAGCAGAGGGCAGTTTCGCTGAGGGTTCCTTGCGTGCGAAGGAGCGACTTGCATTGGCGCCATTCCGGGCTCAATCCAGCGAGGATGATAGTGACGAACATATCGTCAGGGAAGTTGCCGCCGCTTTTTCTGAATTGATCTCTCAGGTTCCTGCAGCGGTTGATGTATGGTCCGACCTTTTCGCCCGGAAACATCTTGACGTTGTTCAGTTGGTTGAGCAGGCGACTAAGTGTCACCGAGTCTGTTGCCATGTGGCAGGTGCGCAGGTGTTCCCAGGACTGTTGCGCGGGCGCCCATTCGTTCTTGAAGGGGCGAATGCTCAGCTGTTCTTCAGGCGACAGGTTTCGTATCAGGACGGTGAAGGCCAGGAGTGATTCGTTGTAGTACTGAGTTTTCTCCTGAGGTGAGCCATTGGTCGGAAATGCGTACGACCCGTCGTGATACATCCAGATCTGAGCGCCTTGAGCTAGTAGCTCAAATTCGAAGCTCCAGGTGTAAAAGTCTTGTCCGTCGAACGGTTTTGTTGTCCTAAGCTTCGATGTTGATAAAAACTTGCTCTGCATTGACGCCATTGCTTCGTAATGCGTCTGTTGTGCTTGTGCAGATCCTTGAACCCCGCGGTTGTCAAAGGTGAAGGATCGTTCAGATCCAGCTCCTTGAGGATCGGGAGGTCTTTGGGCGTAACTAGAGCCGTCGATGCTCATTGGCTGATGGCTCTCCGAGGCGCTGATGCGGGAGATCAGGTGCTCCAGTAGCGCTGTTTCCACGGTCGTTGTGGTGGAAGCGACATTGGTGGAAGGTTGTGTTGGGTTCTCTCCATTCTCTCCGCAATCTGCGCCCGGCATGATGTTGCTTTTGTCGTAGGATTAAGTTATAAAAGAAGCTTGCTTTGAAGCCCCTTTTAGCAGTTTCTATAATACAAACTAGCTCTCATACCATGTTAGAGTAAAGACCTTGGATAGGATAGGAATGCCTTAGAAGAGTTTGGTAGCGGAAGTCTTAGTTGTAGGAACTCTGATCATAGTGAATGTAGATGACAAAGTTGATTAAAACAAATATTACACACATAATAAATAGTTCATAGCTAGCCATGTACTCTGAGGGGTACATTCCCTTATTCTAACTGCTTTACAGGCATTTCTACAGTGACTCTGACTGTTGCACTACTTTCTTTTTACCGAGTCGCTGCATGTAACCTGTACATACGGCTACGCCTGTTGCCATTCCTTGATGGTAAGTCAAACGTTGGTCCAGATGGTCAAGAGTCGTGACAATTGACTCTTGCGACTGCTGTGCGTCTTCCATGGCACGCACTCTACGCGCCGTTTCAAATCTGATGCACCCAGGCAGCAAAACGAACAAATGAGAAGAAAGAAACGTGGGCAGAAAGGGAAAAACAGGGAAATGCTGTACGCGACAGGCGAGGCAGGACAAGACGAGCAAACCAGAGAGATGCAAGAGAAAACAACAGAAGACAACACGCAAACTGAGAGCGTGTTCCTACGGCCTCATATCAGGTCACCTCGTATCAAGATTGTACTTTTTGCCTGGTAAAACTAGCGAGAGGTTTTGGGTTTAGGGGAATTTTCAGTGTGAGCCTGATATGAGGTTCTCTTGATACGAGGATAGGAACACGCCCTGAGGCGAACAATGGCAAGAGAAACTGGAAATTTTATCACGAAGGTGCAAAGAGGCCATAGCGTGGAGGAGGTGAGGAGAGGCGAAGCAAGGCACGGAAGGGAGGTGAAAAGATGTGAAGCAGTATGAAGGAGAGGTGAATCAAGTCACTCACCCGTCAATGCCGGGCGGCATGTGGAGGTCGAGGAGCAGCAGGTGGATGGGCGGGGAGGGCGTGGCAGAGGAGAGCGCTTGCAGCGCCTCCTCCCCGGAGCACAGCAGCAGCACGTGCGCCCCGTAGCCCTGCAGCGTTCTGCGCGCCACCATGCGGTTCACCGCGTTGTCATCCACCACCGCCACCCCCCGCCCCGCCACCACCCCCCGCACCACCCGCTCCGCCTCCCCCACGCTCTCCCCACCGCCCGCGGCCCGCTCGATCTCCGCTTGTGGAAATGTGCGCGCACGCACCAGCGGTGAAAGCGGTTGCGTTGCTGCTGCCTGCTGCTGCGGTGGCGAAACTGGTTGCAAACCGGCAGCAGCGTGAGGGAGAGGCACAGCACCACTGACTGGCCCGTCCATGCCTCGCTGCAAACCGCTTTCTCGCTCCACACCAGCCTGTGCTGGCTCGCCAGCTTCCTCCCCACTCCCCTCCCCCATTCCCATGCTGCTGTCGCCGCCCTCCCCTCCCCCCAGGGGCAGCGCCAGCAGAATGGTGGTGCCTGTGGAGGCGTCTGACAGCACTGCCATGCCCCCCCCCATCTCCGCCACCTGCCGTGTGAGTGGGGGTGGTAGGGGAAGAGAAGGGGGTGCGGGAGTGATGAAGTGAACATCACTGCCATGCCCCCCCACATCTCCGCCACCTGGGGGGAAGATGGAAAGTGGAAAACGGAAGGTACGTCAGAGGAGTGAAAGGTATGTAGCAGAATCTAGAGGAAGGAGAAGGCATCACTATGCAAGGGACATTGAGGCCATATGCTCTGTATATCGAACATCGAGCAAATACCTTTGACTACAGTCACACGAACATGGTAGGGAGCTCACTGACAAGATCCTGAGAGAGGTGGAGAGCAGGAAGCGAACAGGGTAAGGCGTCCAGCGGGGGCCAGTGGCTGCCTTGCCATCTCTTTGCAACGGATCCCATGTGCTGCGCTCCCTCTGACGCTTCGATTGTGAATTCCCTGCGGATTTCCCCAGCTGAGGCTCTGACCTCCCAAACAATGAAATTTTGTCCTGACATGCCCGAAACATAAGGAACCGAGAAAACAAAGAATGCAAGCATCTGTCTTGAATGTGTGAGCCTTGCTTATGCAAACATGCCTTGCCTTGGTAAAGATTCATGACAATCAGCATGCAACAACAAGGCACTGATTCCTTGCTTCGTCTTGCCGAGTGACAGGATGACCCATGTGGCTCCAGCAACCACTGCCTATGAGCTTGAAGCAATGAACAAGGCACTGACCATGATTCCTGGCTGCCCCTTGCCTTGAAGATCCCCGTCCCCAGCAGCAGTGTCATCCATGGAGTGGCACGAGTCTCCGTGTGGGTCCAGCACCCACTGCAGCTCCTCGGGTGGTATACCACCGCCCGTGTCTTCACACGCCACCACCACCATCCACTCACCCTCCTCCCTCACCGCACACGCCCCCTCCACCCACTCCCACACCTCCTCCTCCAACCGCCCATCCCCACCCTGCCCCTCCTCTGCAGTGCAGTCTGCACTGCCCATGCTGTCTCTGCTGCACGCCTGCCCACACGCCTGCCTCGTGCTTTCCACTTCCTTGGCCTCCACATCACCACCTCCTGGCGTTCTGTGTGCTCCTACCTTCCCTCCACCACCTCTCTCTTGCAGTCTTCCCCGCCCCCACCATCGGCCACCCCCCTTGCCCACAGCCCCCACTTGGCTGGCTGGGGGTTGCTGAGGATGGCAGACTAGTCGGGTGGGAGGAGGGAAGCGCTGCACACAGCCGGCCAGCTGATGCCACGCTGAGGACGCCGGGGGAGGCTCAGAGGAGGCTTTTGTGGGAACAGCGGCAGGAGGAGATGAAGGAGCATCCTTTTGAGCAGAATGTTTGGGAGGGATGCACCAGAGGCGGATGGCCACGTGGCCAGATGCTGTGTGGCTCATGGCGTTGGCTGCAGGCGGAAGGGGTGTGGGGGAGAGGGCACACAGAGGGAGGGGTAATCTGGAATGCATGGAAGAAAATAAGTGGCTGATGACACTGCATGCCTTTGCAAGTTGCATGCCTTAAGATACAGTGAATGCCAGGTCATATGATAACGATAGTTCGGTGTACATTAACGTCAAGATATTGAGAATGAGACAGTTAGTGAGATTCACGTTTCCAGGCCAGTTTTAGAAATATGAGAACGAAGCATCTCATACTAGATCGTGGCTCCATTTGTTGCTTGTGCCTCGCTTGATAGATTAAGCCTAGAAGTGCATACTCAAATCCTTCAAACAAATGGATCGTGACCTGGGCTAGCAAACGAAAAAGACCGAACTGGATGGCAGAACCAGAAAGGCGGAACCGGATGACAGAATCGGTTCAGATTCTGGCCGGGGAAGGGTACCTTGCCAATCTCTGCTTGTCCTTGAACAGTCTTGGCAAATGATCACTTGCCTTTTGCTTGTCTAGCGTAGACCCATGGTTCACGAATCACCAGCATTCCTACGAAGCTCACATGGAAGCTCAACTAACTAAGTTGGGCATGTCATCAGTTTACCACCTAGGGACTGATGCTAGAAATGAGTGCCTGAGACTATTGCGATGCACCGTTTTGCGAAACAATGGTGTGCATGAAAAAGGCATTGTCAAAATATACTTACACATACCCACTTGAGAGTTTGCAAAACACGGCGGACACTGAATTCTTCAATTGTGAGACATCAAACCTTCACATGCACAAAATGCATTCAAGCACAGCCGATGGAAGACCTAAGCTGGGCCAAACCCGGCTGTTCAAGACCCTTTCGCAGCCCAGCCTTGGACCAGCCCACCCTTGACCTAAGCACACCCTTGGAAAAAAGTCCGTGGTAGCCCAGCCTTGGATGGACCAACCCCTTCCTTGGTTTGGATGGGCGGGATGCAGTTGCTCACTGACCGGCCCCTGCTCGTGCTTAGCTACTGCCAAATGAAGCACTACTCACCAACAAGCTACGTGTAATGAGGTTATTTTTGAGACGTCTCAAAAATTGGCTACTGCCACATGAAGAACTACTACACACTTGTGTTACGAGGAACCCACCAACAAGCTCAGAGATGACTTGCAAGAGCCGATTTGGATCGCCCAGTAGAGTTGTTGGAACGTTCTCATCCACATCGAATGTCACTGCAATCGACAAGTGAACAAATGAGCACTATAAGCACACACAAACTTCTGAATCTCAACAAGAGGAACGATTCAATTGCACATTTGTTGTACCTTGCAAATCCACCGAGTGTGCCGAGCGCTTTACCGATGTGGCTGCTTCGCGCACGATGCGGCGCAGGCAGCAGGGGAGAGTCTCGAGCTTTAGCCTGCCGGCCTGCAGCTTGGCGAGGTCCAACACTCGGTTGATGAGCTCCACCGTCTCACCCGCACACGCCCTCGCATCTATCAGGTCGGCCCGCTGCCACTCCTCCAGCCCCGAGTCTAGCAGCTCCTCTATCATGCCTGTGTGGGAGGGCAGGGGGGGAGGGTGGGGAGGAGGGGGCGGGGGGGAAGGGGGGGGGGTGGGGAGGGGGGGCCCTGCAGCTTGGAGGTTGATGAACTCCACCATCTCGCCCGCACATGCCTTCGCATCAATCAGGTCTGCCTGCTGCCGCACATGCCTCCAACGGCGAATCCAACAGCTCCTCTATCATGCCTAAGGGAAGCAAAGCACACATCCCGGTTCGTTGTGTAGGAAAATAGAGATATAGTGAGGAGAATTATTAGACAGCTCCTCTAGTATTTCCTCTATAGAGAACCCTTGGCGAATCCAACAGATCCTCTAGCATGCCTGTAAGAGGCAAAGCTCACATCCCAGTTTGAAGGCTGCATAATCAGGGGTGAGGTTCTATTGTCTCCTTCAACACATTTGCAGAAATAGAGAGGGAAACTAATGATATAGCATGCATGCCCTCATCCACCATGCCATGCTCCCATGCATCATGCTATGCTCTCTCTCACCCATCATGCCATGCCCTCACTCACCCATCATGCCAATGATTGGGGTGCGCAGCTCGTGCGACGTGCTGGCCACCGCCTCACTCTTGGACCGCTCAGCTCTCTCCAAGATGGCCGTGCACAGCTGAATCTCCTTCATATGCTCTTCAATACTTCTCCTTTTCCATGTCAATACTGCAATCACGGTGGACAGGAGCACTGCCACTAGCAGCACTAGCAGGCCCAGCAGCATGGGAGCATACACGAGGTCCCACGCAGGAGGAGGGCCGAGAAACCTGCAGAAGGAGAAGGAGTTAAAAAGAGAAAGATGCACGACTCATGTCTTCCTACTTTCACGTTTTTTGAGTGTAGGTAGTCACCTCGTGTAGGATTATAAACAGAAGCTGAAAAGGGGACGGAGGTGCGAGAAAAATACTACCTCATTGAGAATAGGGATGACCAACGAACCGAGCCGGTTCGGTTCGTTGTGCTGAAACCTGAAATGGTTCGACCATAAACCGAACCGGTTCGGTTCGACACACCAACTGGTGTGGTAACACTTTTTGCTCATGCCTGATCCCATCCATCGTAATGTTGTGGGTTTGTGTTGCATCGGTGCAGTGAAGTCTCAACTAGTTGAAGCCCTTTCCCTTGTTTGTAGTCCTACTTTTGAGAATTCTCAAAAGTGCAGCCTCTTCAGCAGACAGATTCAGTTGGTTCGAGCTCAACACAACTTGCATTGCGTTCAACAGAAATGAGGGCCAGTCAGCAGCATCATACATGCACATACCCGCACCGTGTAACCCGCAAGGCGATACATGTTGGCAACCCCCAATGCAAACATACCCGCAGTGGGCTTCAAATGTTCGTCCAAGCATGTTCTCAGGGAACGGCTCAACATGCTCGGGTGGCACAACGGGTGCGGGCAGCACAAAAGCGAAACCAGAACGGCTTTCCAAGAGTGGCTTCTCGGGGCCCAATATCTGCTTGAGATCGCCTGGGTCTGTGTTGTCGTATATGGCGAAGGAGTATGTACTGGTGCCTGCAATCAGATGAGGAAGGAACAAGGAAGCAAGCATGACAGCACGGCATGAAACGAGGGCGACGGGCGAGACGGGTTAGAGCACGACAGCACGGCGTGTTGGTTGCGTTGCGACAACAGGAACATGGAAGGAGAGTCAGAATCCAGATGTAGTGGGCTTTAGTTGAGAATTCTCTAAAGTGGCTCCAAGTTCCAACACATCAAGGGGAGCAGTGTATACTATCAGCATCTAAATTCACACGGCAGAGAATTGGAAGGGAGTCTTGGCAAAGAGAGTAGAGGGGTGAGAACGAAGTGGATATCAAAATGAGCTTCCTGTGGCCCGGAGAATGAACAAGCTCACCATTCTCAAGAATTGGCAGTACTTCACGGGTCCTAAACTCAAGATGAAACACACCGCCCCATGCAATGCTCATGCTGTCCCGAATTTGCTGTGAAGACGCATTGGACGGCATAGGTTGGCGGAAGATGGGCATAACGAAGGCTGCCAAGAAAGGCAGGGAAAGGACAGTGCATGCGCAGAAAGGGAAAATCGCATGTAAGGGATGGATGGATGAAGAGATGTGTTCATCGGTAAAAAACTAACGCAAAAGAGTTTGTACTGACACAATCGGTTGCGGTGAATGCATGGGCTTACCACACCACGTACATGTGGAGGGCGGCACGAAAGAAGAATGGCTAGCTGAGGAGGAACAAAGACATTTTCGCCCTTTGTGCAAAGCATATGGTAGGGTAGATGAGAGCTACTCGCATGCCTTGCAGTTTCAGAACCAAGTGACAACGACACGACATCAGTATTTGAAAGCAGAAATGAGATAACAAGATGGCACTTGACTTGGATTGAAGCACCAAGATAGGTGCGATAAGGTGGAGGCCGGTGAGCCTTTTGAGTCGACTCAAAAGGAGGCAGTCAGTTTGACAGGGCACAAACCATTCATCACATATCCCGTCGAGACAGGAGGGCCCGCAATACTTCGTCCTTTCAACAGGTTGTCTAGCAGGACCGGAGGGACGATAGGAGTTAAGTCAGTGAAGGGCTGCAAGGGAAAGTCGGGGTTGATGCTGCCGCACACGTTCACTCCGTACAGATCCTTCCTTGGGGCGGGCAGGCCCAGCACTGAGCGGATTGGAACCCTGTGATGCTCTCCACTGGAGGCCTGCAGGGACAAGAGGTGCGTGCAAAGAGGCATGCGGGATGATGAGCTCACTGTCAGGATCAGGACGAGGCACAGGGTATGGCACTACCTGAGGACTTGTACATTTGTAAGATGTTATCTATAGCCCACACAGAGCCCTGCAACTGAGGATTGAAAACAGACATTGGTTCAGCTAACTAACAAAACAAAAAAGAACATGGCAGAAATTTGTGACCATAATGAAGGCTCGATCAGAACGAACTCAAACCGGTTCCCAGTCGACCCATTCGACCGCAAGCAACTCAGTCGACCCTGTAGCAGCGTGGTTCATTTCGACTAACCTGGCGGCTCGATTCAATTCACTTCCAACGCAGTTCGGGCCCATACTTTGCCCATTTGTCTGGGGAGCTCTGTTTGTCAGGGAAACTCCAATACTTTGCCCATTTGTCTGGGGAGCTCTGTTTGTCAGGGAAACTCCAATACTTTGCCCATTTGTCTGGGGAGCTCTGTTTGTCAGGGAAACTCCAATACTTAGCCCATTTGTCTGGGGAGCTCTGTTTGTCAGGGAAACTCCAATACTTTGCCCATTTGTCTGGGGAGCTCTGTTTGTCAGGGAAACTCCATTCGTTTTGGACAACTCTATCTGTCTGGGGAACCTTATATGTCTGAGAAACGGATGAGCTATGTTTGGGGATGTCCGTTTGCTGAACGACTGTAATTGTGTGGGAAAACTCATGTCTGAGAGACTTCATTCATCTTAAAGACTGGAGAGCTAGGCACAATACACGACCCGATTAGGCAGGAAGTACTCGATTTCGGGTCCGGTCAAAAGCGGGTCAAAACCTGACCCGACCCAGCCCGATTTTGAAAACCGGGTTACGGGTCGACCCAACCCGGCCGGGTATACCCGGCTCGACCCGGCAGGGCCAGGATCCTCCCCGAGACGCTGACCCGACCCGGGTAACATCCCTGGTCGGGTCGCCGACCCGACCCGCCGGGCCAGTATGCTCAAGCCTAGCGTTATCTCTGTTCAAGAACTGGATCGTCCCGGCTCGCCAAGAAGCTTGGACCCCTTCTAAAAAACAGTTGAATCTAAATAGTCCTTTCAAGCAGCTTCTGGCTGACCTGTCCTGGTCGGAGAGGAGCATGATGACACTGCCGGTGCTGTAGTTGGCAATGGGGTCAGCTTGTAACGAGTACGACACAGTAGGGTCGGCCAGAACTGACCTGTCTTGGTCGGAGAGGAGCATGATGACGGTGCCGGTGCTGTAGTTGCCGATGATGTCAGCGCATATGGTGTACGCCAGAATGGAATTGTTGTTCACACACCCCGCCAGCCCCCAGTAGCTCAGGTTGCTGCTGCTGCGCGGCCCAAAGTGCGCAAACACTTTCACCAGTCCGACTGCCTCCTGTAGCGTGAGTCCAGAGGGGGGAGATAGAAATCAGGAGAAGGCAGTGATTCAAGAGGAGAAGAGAGAAGCGGGAATAAGGGAACTGGGTAGAGCCTTCAGAGTTGGTGGAACAATAGAAGGGCAGGAGTGAGAGGGGTGTGGAAGGGATATGGCCCGTGCCTTGAGAAGGCGGGTGTTGGGCAAGGGAAGGAGGTGCAGGCAAGGGAAGGAGAGTGCTAGAGGCGAGGGAAGCAGAGTGCTGGGGGACAAGATTAAAGGAGCAGAGGAGGAGGACATGTGAAGGAGCACAGGAGTGAATGGGGGGGGATGAGGGGATTGGGGAGGGATGGAAGGGGGGGATGGGGGACAAGGATGGAGAGAGGAGGGCCACGGGTTAGTAGGGCTGGACAGGGTGGGGGGACGGAGGGTGGGGATGGGTAGGAGAGGAGGGAAGGGGAACGGTAGGGGAAGGAATTGGAGAGAAGGTGTAGGAAGGGGAGGAAGGTGGGAGGAAGAAGGGAGAGACGGGGGGTAAAACAAACCGGGGCTACCTCTACAACGGCTTGTGACCTAGGGCCTAGACCACGACGTTACAACAACCATCTCCCCCCTGGTGTCGACGCCCTCGTTGGATCAGGGAGTCGCCCCACCTGTGCACCTGCTGTCTACCTGTCCACCTGCTGCCCATAGTTTCTAGCAGCCATAGTGCATTTTTTAGCATGTTCGGAGCATTTTCCCTTAAAGATAGAAAATGAACTGCAATTGCTGTGCACATTCAACAAATCCCAGCAAAGACCTCGATTGTTGGGAGGAGGCAAGGCAGCGAATTTGTCGGGGAAGGTCAGGCCAGCAGCAAAAGGTTTCAGGGTATGACACTAGGTTACCACACCAAATCTTCGTTACAACCACTTGGTCAAACGGAGTTTATCCAGCTGGGATTCGAACCCTAAGCTCTAGGGCGGTGGTAACTCTTCGTGTACCACTCTGGTGGACCACTGGGTAAAAGATGGATATTAATCACAGGCGGATCCCTTCGAGTAACTTTCAACCCCCAATGCGGCACTAATACCTGCGCGGATGTGCGTGCCTGCGCGGATGGGCGGACAAGCGCGGATGGGTTGACCTGCGCGGATGGGCGGGCCTGCGCGGATGGGCGGGGACAAGCGCTGATGGGTTGACCTGCGCGGATGGCCTGCGCGCATCCGTGCGATGGAGCGCTACTACCAGCACGCGGCGAGAGGGGCATCGAGGTGGGCTGATCGCCTTACCTGCGCGCGGGCGACGGACGATCGCATGTCCTGCTGGAGGTATCGCACGCGCGTGCGACACCACGCTCGCATCGCCTCCTGCCGCGGATTGGCGGCCTGCGAGTGCGCGAACCACACCACCCACGCGCACAGCCCCGCCCATCCCGCCACCCACGCCGCCACCAGCGCCGCCCTCGCCACACCTGGCGGCAGGCGGCCCGGGGAGAAACGCGCCAGCGACGACCGCATGCGTGAGGCGACAGCAGGCGACTTTGAGCGACAGATGTGCGACAGGCTAACGTATGAGCGACAGAACGGATCCGTCACAGCCGAGGACAAAAATCTAGCGAGTGCACAACACAGTGAGCGAGCTCCAGATAAGCCAGAGCTGGCAGGCAGGAGCCAGCGGGGTTGGGGTGCCAACTAGGCTAGAACAAGGGCTAAGACAAACATGTTTTGTGGTCGCTGGGGCTCGAACACCCATGTTCGGCGTGTTCGGCAGAACACATCCCCCAGAAAGGGGTGTTCGATGTTCGCCTGCAAGGAAAACACTTTGGTGTTTGTCCCAGAACACATACATGTTCTAAACGAACACGTTTGTGCTCGTTGTTAGGGAACCTTCGTTATACTTACAAGTGGAGGAATGTTGGATACGGACAGTCAGGAATTGCCAGATCCACGCAAATCTGACGGCGAAATATCATATCCTTGCAAATCTAACGACGAATGCCTGTCCCGCGCAGATCTGACAGAGAAATGTCTGATCCGCGCATATTGTATGGCGAGATGTCATATCCGTGCAGATCTAACTGTGAAATGCCAGATCCGCACAGGTCTGACGGTGAAATATCATATCTGTGCATATCTGATGGCGAATGCCAGATCCGCGCAAATCTGACGGTGAAATGCCATATCCACGCACATTTGGCGGCGAAATACCAGATCCGCGCAAATCTGACGACGAAATGTCAGTTTCGCGCGGATCTGACGGCAAATGCCAGATTGGCGCACATCTGATGGTGAAATGCCAGATCCATGCACATCTGATGGCGAAATGTTCGGCTCGAACACGTGTTCGTCCTACTGCTCAAGCCTAGTGCCAACAATAAATCCATTCGGATTGGATGGCAGAGCATGGGAAAAAATGGATGTGCGAACTTGGCTTGGCTGCATGTAGGTTTGGGCGGTGGGCCTTCAGCGGGATGACAAACGTGCTGATTTTCTAGTTTGTAACACAAAGTAATCGCTGTGCAATAATTTGCATCCGCTTGTTATAAGCGTCAACAAGATTTCTAAAGCGGGGATGAGGGCTCTGTAGACTCGGTGGTTTGCAGAGGAGGGCATCAATCTGACCACCCAGGCCGGTAAGCGCACATTGGGCATGAGGAGTTGTGCGTTTTGTGATTGTCTTGTTAGTTAATGCTACGACTTTTGTTAACGACGACCTTTGCAAGAAAACCTGAAGAAGGCGCCAGCGTACGTCGTGCTCAAGTGGGTCTCTCGCGCTTGGGCTGCCGTGTCGCCCGACCTCATCCGCAAAGCATTCAAGACCTGTGGCATTTCTAATGCCACAAATGGCAGCGATTATCATTTGATCTTCGCACATATGCGTAGAAGGAACTCTCAAAATCCCAGCCACTAACCACTGGGATAAAATGGCTTGTTTGTAAAGCGGGTGAGTGCGCCATAACCCCCCAGGCCAACGTGCCTGTAACCCTAGGATCAATCGGGGATCCAGTGCACCTTTGATAGGAACGAGGCCGAAGTCCTCGAAGACCTTGTGCCCGAAGAGACGGCCGATCCGGCCGACGCCCCATGTGTGGCCGCTGACGAGCTGTCTGATCAATAGGCTTCCTCGGGGGACTTCTCTAGCAATGACTCAAAAGAGACCGACGACGATGAAGTCGAGGGCGACGGGTGCGACGCGGGAGTGTCAGAATGTGAAAACAAGGATGAATGAACTAGGAGCATGATGGGTACAAGTACTAACCCTAATTTGGGTTGTACCCCATATGGGCTACCCCACTACAACCTACACAGCATGCAACATATAAGTTTGACAGGGAGAGGAGGATCAGTGCGAGAACGAGGGCCTTCTTGATGACTCTGGAGACTCCTAGGTGCTTCACTAGTGATAGATTCAGTTGGATTATCAACCTCTGAACTTGAAGTAATGTTGGGTAACGCTTGAACTTAAAAAAATGCCTGGACATCGAAGAAACGATTTCTACATGTACCGTAGAACCGGATTGCTTCTATAAAGGGGGGGGGGGGGGGGGGGGGGTGGGGGGGGTGGGTGGGGCTCTATCGACAAGGCATAAAAAGGGGTATAGTATTGTCAAATCACATTTTTAAGTCTGTAGGCTATAGTGGGGTAGCGTACATAGGGTACAACCCTTTTACGGGTGCCTACTTGTACTTCTAATTCATCCTAGTGACATCATTCTGACATGGTATGTTAGAGAACGAGAATGGATGAACTAGCAGAAAGTTGGGTACAAGTAGGAAACCCTAAGTTTGTTGTACCCCCTATGGCTAAACCCACTATAGCCTACACAATATAAACATATAATGTTTGACACACCCCCATAGGCTAAGTGGGAGACAACCAGACGGTCACAAGACCAGTCAAGAAAGCAAAGCAAAACAAGCTCAGGGTGAATCTCAAGGATACCACACAAATTCCGAGCACAAGCAAGTGGTCACAAGACCAGTTCACATGCAGTTTGATAATAGAACAAGAGGTACAGTGATCACAACCTAGCAAGTGTAAGCATGCAGGTATATATATAAAAATCACAGTACAAGCAGAGTCAAGAAGTGAGCAAGTGAGGGAGAGTAGGCACAAGGCCTAGAACAGTACAGAAACGCTGATGATCACAAGGCTGAAGCGCCTTGGTGAACACATCAGCAGTGTTGGCCCGAGTGGCCACGTACGAGAGACGAAGCTGACCACGCTGCTGCAGCTCTCGAGCAAGGAAGTAGCGCAGAGCGATGTGCTTCGTTCTGTGCTCCAGTCTGTGCTCCTGACACAAGGCAATGGCTGCCATGTTGTCGACGTACAGCACTGGAGGAGAACGAGGCCGCTCTCCCAGGTCGGTCAGCAGGTAGGTGAGCCAGCGTAGCTCCTGGGCAGCCATGGCTGTGGCGTAGATCTCAGCCTCACAACTGGAGCTGAGAACAGAGGAAGAGCGTGTAGAACGCCAGGAAACAGAGCCAGAGCCAAGGCTGAAGGAGTAACCCTGAGACGACCGCTGCGTAGCCTGGTCGTCAGCCCAAGAAGCGTCTGAGTGTCCAGTGAGGACAACGTCGCGCCGTCCTCTAAGCACAAGCCCCATGCCCGACGTACTGCACAAGTAGCGCAACACCCTCTTAGCGGCATCCATGTGCTCCTTCCGGTGACGGCCAAGAGCGACATAGCGTGCTAGGATGCTAAGAGGGTATGCAAGGTCAGGTCGAGTGCAGGTCATCAGGTACATGAGGCAGCCCACAAGCTCTGGATACGGGCCACTCGGCTCTACGGACTCATCCGAAGGCAGAGCTGAGAGCGAGTGACTGGTAGGCAGAGGAGTGGGCTGAGGCGAGGAGTACGTGAAGCGGAAGCGCTGAAGGACCTGCTGCACCATGTGTGACTGAGTCAAGGTGATGGTGCGCTGTGCTCTGTCCCGGGTGATCCGCAAGCCAAGATAGCTTGTCAGCTCACCCAGGTCTGTGCACGTGTGTCTCTTCTGCAGCTCCGACTTCACGTGGGCGAGTGCCTCAGTGTCAGCAGTAGCAAAGACCAAGTCGTCGACGTACACGAGGACGTAGAACGGCGGCAGAGTGGTGTCGGTGCGTAGAAACAGCGACGGGTCAGCAGTAGAAGGAGCAAACCCAAGAGCCGCAAGCGTAGTCCTCAGTGTGTCGTGCCACTCACGGGGTGCCTGGCGGAGACCGTAGACTGGCCGCCGGAGGCTCCACTGGGTACCAGGAGGGAACGACCCAGTGAAGCCAGGTGGGCGGCGCAGCCAGATCTCCTTGTGCAGGCTGCCCTGTAGGAACGCAGTGCTGAAGTCAAGAGAGTGGAGCTCGTAGTCACGCTGAGCGGCGACGTGCAGCAGAACCCGAAGAGTGGTCATCTTCGGGGTCGGGGAGAAGGTCTGGAAGAATTCAACTCCCTCTCACTGACTGAAGCCTCGTGCAACGTAACGCGCCTTGAAGACAGGCGGAGAACCCGGCGGCCGCTTCACCCTGAAAATCCACATGCCACTGACGATGTTCGCCCCAGGTGGGGGAACCTCGTCGACGTAGGTGCCTGTGGACTTCCAGGAAGCCATCTCTGCGTCCATGGCTGTCTGCCACTGAGAGGAGTAGAGACCCTCCATCGCCTCTGCGTAGGAGCGTGGGGTCGGGATGTCTGGTGCATCCGGGTCTCCCTCAAGGGCAACCAGCATGGACACGAGATGAGGTAAAGCAGCAGCAAAGCACTCAAACTCCTCCTGTCTGTCCTCAAGGACGTCCGTGCCAAGAGCACACTCACCCCCGACGGACGGAGGACAGACAGACTCAGACTCAGCAACAAGGCTAGCGGCGTAGTCTAGACGACAGGCGGCAGCAAAGTCAACAAGCTCAGCGACTAGAGCAGACGCAGCAGAGGACTCAAAGGTAGGGTCAGTGACAACAGTAGCGAGGAAACGTGCGACAGTAGGACTGGCAGCACGAGTAAGGTCTGACGGCGGGTCAGCAACGTCAGGAAGAGAGGACGCAGGAGGAGACGGCAGAGGGACACGCTGTGGAGCAGTGGACGGATGCAGGGTCATATAGTGAGTGCCAAGGACAGGAGGAGGACGCTGACGCGGAGCACGACGACCAGCGCGGACAGCGCGGACAGGCGACTCTGGACGCGACTCAGGCGACTCTGGACTAGACTCAGGCGACGGAGGACGAGACTCAGGCTCACGGCGCTCCGTAAGACCACCCGTCGGCGCAGTGTAAGGAGAAGGACCAGGCAGCGGAGAGGCAGGCTGTAACTGTGACTGCGACTGGACAGGCGGTGGACTCAGTAGGGGAGGAGTAGGACCAGTAGAGGGCGGGAGACCAAGAACCTGCTGAAGGAGCGGAACGTAGTACGGCTGCGGCCGCTCAGCACCTCCAGCTCCAACCCCCTCAGCAGCTCCAGTCCCAGCAGCTCCAGTACCTCCAGTACGAGCACCTCCAGGAACAGCTGCTCCAGCACCAGCAGCACCTCCAGCAGCTCCAGCAGGACCAGC